AAAATCCATACTGCATTAGGAAATAAAGCATGCCAAACATTTTGTCATCAAAGATATACAATGTAACAACGCACAGTCGTACTCATATGCTGATAGTTTTTCATGTAGGTATTGTGTTTAAAATGCAGGTATGAAATTGGCAATACCTTCAAGTAAGATAACAGTGCATGTGCATGGTAAACACTGTATGACACTTATTCCCAAAATAGATATCCCACAAAATCTTGATTAAGTAAAGCTTGTATGTGTTGACAATTATTATGGTTACTGGTACATTTACATTGTGTGCATTAAAATATGCATTCCTCATAATTGTCATGATGGTCTATTTTAGCAGTGCCACTATATATAGCATATGAAGGAAATGGATGTGTATATTTAGAATATTGACATTCTCGTATTGTCAAGAATTGTACTTGAAAAATTTAAGCTTTCAGTATAAAAGCTAGAATTTCCCCTAATTGGTACTCCTAAGCCTGCAGCAAAGTCTAAATATGGCACCATAATAAGGTGCCTTGAACATTGTGATTAGTATAATTTCTGGGTTGCTAAGCGCATGCAACTTATCAAAATACAAATGTATCTAAAAAAAGACATATTACTAGTGAGGAAATTTAATGAAGTTTCTGCTTCTACATTGTGTATATAAACAAAGGAAATGGGTCGCATCTTAAAGGCATCTCTAAAGGCCATGTCTAAAAGGGCAGTATCTATTAATATTTTTGAAACCATACAATGTAGGTATAGTAATGTCAGTAGTACTCAGTAGTAGAAGCTACATGAAGGTAGGTCTCTTCACAAGGTGGATGGCAGCTATGGGAGATCAGATTCTGTGTGAATAACCCAGACTTGATCATTGTCTAGACGTTTTGTAAGCTTGCCAATTTGCAGAGCTGGTGAGCCCAGGTCTCCCTGTCAACACACATGTCAATGGCATTTCCTTGGGCTGAAAAAATGTAACCCCCACGACCTGACCTTAGAGTCATTTCCTCAGGTTAACTTCAATACACTCTTCTGTTATTTACCTCCGTCATACTTTGTGACGTTCTTCTAAGCTGACATATTAGATACACCTTACCTGTTTGCCTGTTTGTGTGTCTGTATAGTCATTCCCAAGTACATGTATATCTGTTAAGTTCTGTTAAGTTCATTTGCACAATTTGTATATAGGATTTTTTTCAAATGACTCAATGTAAGTAGCCACTCATTAACTAGTACAAAATAAAGTACATTATGTACTCCCCATTCAACTCAAGCCAACAAACTTAATATTCAGTCACGGCACACACTGTACAGATAACTCATTGACATTGGGCAATGTCTGAGTCTTCCTACATTTTTGTAAGGAGTGGCCTTTTTCTGACAGATGTCAGAATTGCCAGAGTGCAGTGACTGACCTTAACATCACACCCAGTTATCAGGAGATCTTACAAAGATCAGGTGGGCTGGGATCAGGTCAGACCAACATAACACAAAATCCAACAAAATCTTACTCTACCTCAATTAGGGACAGGAAGAAGACCTTTGTAGCTGCCCACACACTTTCACCTGTCCCACACAGTCCCCTGTGTATATACCGAACTTGACCTTTCTCACCACACACTCAAAAGACTGACAAAAACCAGGGTACAGAACCGTGAAACTGTAACCACCTACTTGTTACATGAAACCGGCATTTCAATATTCCGCACACAAACCTGCAGCACGTACCTAACAGAGCACCAGACCAGTGCAGAAGGGTCAATGCTATTACCAGTGGGCAAACAAGCCCTGCCCTGCCTGCCATGTGCACTGACCTGCACAAACACAGCAGTTCAGGCTTTGACGTCATCGTTAACTAATTGGTAGGCATGATGCGGGTCCTGCCTCACAACAGGAACTACGAGCCAGACGATCCAATATGCCGCCCATACAGATTAGTTTTACCTTCGTACAACACAATATTCTATGCATGTATCAAGGTCATCATGCCATGCTTGGAAATTAAGATGGGCCCATTGATTTGTTATCAAGAATATTAAGGTTCATTTACAATTCAAATCTGCACAGGATGAAGAACTGTGATATAGTGACTTGTACTGCACAGTCAATTCAAAACATATAAA